AACCGAGGTCCCTGTGCTTTGCCAAGCTTGTTTCAAGTAGGTGCTTTAGACCACTGAGCCATCTCTCCAGCCCATCTTGTTAGGGTTTTTGATAACTTCTTTTTTTAATATTTTAAGGTGTTCAGGGTCTCACTACTAGATTGAACTCAGTGATCCTCCTGTTTACAGCCTCCCAAGGGCTGGGATTACAGGCATGCACCACCATGCACAATCTCAATTGCCCGTCTCAGCGTGCCCCAGGGGTGGGGTTGGCACAGCAGGCCCAGGAATCTAACCTCTGGCCCCTGAGCCTGCTTGCAGGTGCTTTAATCTGCTGAGCTGTTTGGCCAGCCCTGTGTTTGATAACTTTTTAACTGTTAATTTATATAGTTAGATCAACTGATGGATCTATTTTAAACCAGGTGGTTGAGAGTTCGAGGCAGCTATGTCTGAGACAGCTGTGTTTCGCCTACCTGGAACATTACATTGGCTTAGAGTATGGTGCTAAAAACCAAGGATACAGATTCCATTTGATTCCAGAATAATCCTCTTGCATAACATTTAGCACACAGTTTTTTTATTTCATGAGTAGATTATAGTGTGATACTAAGCTTGGATTTTAAAAAGAGGTTGTTTCATCTACATTTTGGCCGCCACAAGATGGCTAATGTTTTGCATATTTGAATATACTTTCTAAAGGAGGAAGTACTAAAATGAGCTACTTTCCAGTTCTTACTTGATCTGTTTCTGTGCAATGATAAAAAAAAGTACAGCGTTTCACATGGCATTCTGAAACCCTTTGCATTACCCACATTTCAGTTGTTCATGTAGAATTTCAGAACAGGTTTTACAGAGGCAAGCATTTCATATCTGAGGTATTTTCTGTTTAACTTGTGAATTAAAGCACTGAACATTTTATAATAATCATGTTATTAAGAGGATCTCTGTTTGCTCATTGGGGTGAGTGCTGTGTCAGGAAAATGACTTTAGGTCCCGAAAATCATAGACTCTGCTCAGTAATTAAATTATAGATATTACCCTCATTGCATATTAAAGCACAGCCAGTGTTTCTGTTCTTACATAAATTCATAAAACAATTTGGATGGAGTGATTTTTCTGTCTATAGTAGAAATACATTTTTTCTATTTTTATTGTACTCTTTAATATTATTTAGAGTTTTTATAGCTAAGTATAACGTACATTGTAGTCAGTCACTTTGAAGTAGTAGTTTTGAAGGCGGGCATTGGTGGCGCTGGCTTGTAATCCCAGCACTTAAGAGGTTAAGGCAGAAGCATTACTACAAGCTTGAAGCCAGCCTGAACTATATAGCAAGACCCTATCTCAAACAAACAAATAAATGTATATATAAAATTTTGTAGAACAGAAAAATATTAACACCTATTCTGTATGTCTTGAAATGACTTGTGTGCATATATGACTGATGTGTACGTACTGTCATTTTATATGAATTAAGTATATTTTTGTTAATAGAGTCACTTTTTATGTTCTGGGAACACTGTAAGTAGAAAATTAGCCTGAATGAACTTCTTGCAAATTCTCTTTCAGCATATTAAGAACATTAGGGAAAAGAAAACTAAAAGATAAAAAATATTTGATCCATGTATATAATTTATACATTTTATTTATTTATTTTTTTTTGTGGAACTGGGGATGTAACTCAGGCCCTTGCACTTGCGAGGCAAGCACTTATAAATTTATACATTTTAAAAGCTAAAATCAAGGCTGGGGATGTAACACGTACAAGGCTCTGTGTAGCATGTTCATCCCCAGTGCTGAAAAATTAAAAAAAAAAAAAAGTATAAAAGTTATGTTAATAATTTAATTGTATTGGGCTGGCCAAATAGCTCAGCAGATTAAAGCACCTACAGGCAGGAACAGGGGCTGGGGGTTCAATCCCCCGGCCTGCTGTGCCAGCCCCACCCCCAAATTGTGCTGAGACTGAGATTGAGACTGGGCATGGTCCCACGTGCCTGTAATCCCAGCTCTTGGGAGGCTGTAAACAGGCAGATCACTACAAGTCTGATCTAGATCTAGTAATGAGACCCTGAACACCCTGTAGACCCTTCCCTAAAATACAAAAAGAACAAGTATTAAATGAGTAGACAAATAACAGGCATTATTTTTTTGGAGGGAGTATTAAGAGGTATTTTAGGGGCTGCAGAGATAGCTTAGTGATCTAAGCACCTGCCTAACAAGCACAAGGACCCAAGTTCGATCCCTGTACCACATGCTGTGCCAGCCCCGCCCTGGTGGCACATGCCTGTAATCCCAGTACTGGGGAGGCTGAAAGCAGGAGGATCAGCTGTGTAGTGAGACACTGTATCAAATATATAAAATTAAAAAAAAAAATCCTCCTTTTTCAGCCTCCTCAGTGTTGGGATTATAGGGGTGAGTCGCCATGCCTGGACTCGGTTGCTGGCTCAGCGCACCCTGGGGCGCAGCATGGGACATCGAGGATTGAACCATGGTCCATGTGCTTGCCTAAACAGTTGCTTAATCCGCTGAGCTATCTCGCTGGCCCTAAAAAGGAAAATACTTTTTAAAAGTGCCTCCCTTCCTTTTTTAGGACCTGCATCGGACAGGCTGTAGCTCTTACTGTGGCCAGGAGGCGGAGCAAGACAGGGTTGTGTTGAAGCGTGTGCTGCTGGCCTATGCTCGGTGGAACAAGAACGTGGGGTACTGCCAGGGCTTTAACATCCTGGCCGCGCTCATTCTGGAAGTGATGGAGGGCAATGAAGGGGATGCACTGAAAGTGAGTAGCAGGCTCTGGTGGGAGAACCGATGTCTTCTAGAGTGACAGTCTCTCCTCTCCTCTTTCTCTCTCATCTCGAGGTGTTTTCCATTCCTTTGTGACCACCTGTTATAGCATCTCTCCCAAACTGAGGCCATATCAAATGGCCGACTCACGTGGTTGCCAACAGTGAGGAGAATGATTGTTTTTAGCCTGATTTATAAGTCAAGTTGCTTTCCAAAACAAATTAAATATTGTATTAGTTACCCATTTTTGGATTCCCATCTTAGCTGCTTAAAACATCAAGCGTGTGTTACCTCATGTGTCTTTGAGCCAGAGGTCTGGATGCAGATCAGACTGCTTAAGGTCACCTCACGGTGGCATTCAAAATATTTGTGTTCAAAATATTGGTTCATTGAACCCTCGGTTGGGTGGGGCTCATTTGTCCAGTTCTTTCCTGTGGTTACTGGAGCGGTCAGTTCCTCACAGGCTGCTGAACTGAGAGTCTCAGTTGTTTTACTGCCTGTTGGCTGGTGGCCTCTTTTAGACCCTTGTCACACAAGCCCCTTGAGCACCTTATAGCCTGGAGGCTCGACTCTCTCAGCATTGAGCAAGAAGGTTAAAAGGAGCAAGCAGGGCAGAAGAGTTTGTTACGGATTTGCAGCCATGTATCAGAAGTGATGTTCATGATTTTTTTATATTCTGTTTATTGGAAGTGATCACCAGGTCCAGCTTATACTCAGAAGGTAGGGCCACAGGAGTTACCAAGTACACAAGGGTGTGAGGTAGGGATCCCTGAGGGTCATTTTAGAACCTGTCTCTTGTGCTACTTACATTTAATTCTGTTTGGGCTGTCCTTTGTGGTTGCTTTACTCTTTCATATTTGGGGAAAGGTATGGAAGAGGAGGTCCGTGGGTATCTATAAAAGATGTTTGCATGGAGGAGCCAGGGAGATAGTTAAGTGGCATAAGCACCTGCCTGGTAAGTGCAGTGTCCTGAGTTTGATCTGCGGTATTGAAAAAAAAAAGTTTGCATGGAGAGAAGTTATGGAGGTGACTTGTATCATTATCTTTTAATATTTGATGCCTCAGACCTGTGTGCAGTTCTGGAACCACTTTAAGATGGAACACTAGTAAGGTAAGCTTGGGGGTCTGAAGGTGAGTGGGTGAGTTGCCAACAGTAATCTTTACGTGAAACAAGGCCTTTCTGACGCAAGATGGTCTTATCCGCTTAGGGCAGTGTGGGTTGCCAGTTCATGTCTGAACCTTTAAACTGGTGCTATTTATGATGTTTGTGATGTATGGGTTGAATAGTTGGTCTTTGTGACCCAACTCTGAGTATAGTGAATACTTCAGTGATATTCTCAACCACTGACTAATGCAATATGGAAAAATAAACAAATATTATTCCCGATTTTATACGCATCATGATAGATTTAAAAATAAATCCAGTTTGACATGATTTAAGTCAGCATTCACCCTCTCATTTTTCTCATTTATGTATTTAAGGAAACAGCTTTGAAGCTATTTGCTCACCAAGTAGGGGTTGGGAAGAGAGAGGCAGTGATGAATCAAATATCAGCGATGAATAAAATCAAATGTTTCAAAATTAAGCCATTTTAAATTAAGCAATTTTGTTTATTCAGTCTCTCAGCCACACCTCCCCCCCCCCCCCCCCCCCGTCTCATTTTTATGACTAAAATTGGAACTGTTCTGTTGAAAAGCTGGAATGAGTGGTTCAGGTTAGGAGGTAGGACGGGGAAGTTTGGGGAAGGGGGTGTATGTGCCAATCAAACCATGAAAGGACTCAGTGATATTTGAGAAACTAAAAATTCATGCAAGAAGGAGGATTAGACAAAGCTGGAATGCTGACTATTCTTTATTAGTGCCTCCAACCAAAAAGTTCCATCCATTGAGAGATGTCCACCATCACTGTTTAGGAACACACAGGCATTTAATATGCAAAGGAGGCTTCTGGTGCCGAGGCGACTGGGTGTCCGTGTCCCTCCTCATTGGCACTCAAGTATTTCTGGTGGCTTGCTAAGCATAGGCTCTCCTGTCATGTATTATTATTATTTGTAAGACGTAAGATTTGGCTTTTGCAATTCAGTAGTGGGTAGAGTGAGCCAGCTGGCTCTGAGGTCTTAACACTAGACTTTGAGATGACATTAGACTGAGACATTTATTGTGTCATGAGACTCACTAGGCTAAGTGAAGAAATATGTTCCTTGTTTTCCTGTAGTCCTGAGGGCTCATAATTTCTAAATAAAGAGTTAAGTATTTTCATGGTATTATATAACTTCTCCTTAGGTGAAAAGCACAGTAATCTGTGGACTATCACCTGGAAGCTTTGCTTCATGATCCTCTAAATCCCCTTTCTCCTGAGCTGTGGAACACTGGGTTCCTACCAGGGTACTCTATGGAGAACCTGCGTGTCCCACCTGGCACCTCTTCCCTCCACATGGGCTGAGCGTCCTCCTTTGCCTGTTGCTGGACCCTGTGTTCCAGGTGTGGATGATGTGTGGACCAGGCCCAGCTCTTCCTAACAAAAGGCTGAGACCTGCTCACTAGAGCAACGGCCTCAGAAGGGCCTTCTCAGGAGTCTGTCCTTGCATTCAAAACTAGAATCCTAAAAGTAGAAATTATGAGCTGCTGAGTGAGGGGAAAATGGGTGCTTGGCAGGGTTAAAAGATAACTTTTTTAAAAAAATAGAATTTTGTGGTATTGTGGGAATCAGAAAGTGTGAGACAGGTACTTTTCCACCGGCATATAGTCTCTCAGCCTTTGTCTCCCCCCTCACTGTGTCATTTTTATGACTTTATTTTTCTGATTTTTATTTTTTATGACTTAAAATAGGAACTGTTCTGTTGAAAAGCTAAAATGAGTAGTTCAGGTTAGGAGGTAGGACGAGGAAGTTTGGGGAAGGGGGATCTTTAATAAAAAGAAAAGCCACTTCTTATTAAATTAAAGATTTGGTAATGTAGCTTTGATTTTCTTTTTCTTGAGGTACTGGGGATTCAACCCAGGGCTTCATGCATGGTAGACAAGTGCTCTCCCATTGATCTGCGAGAGTCCCAGCCTATGATTTTGCTCTTAGTTTTGTTTTCCTGGTCCTCTTGGGACTGAGATGGTCTCTAAGGAGTGGGATACTGAGAGAGCATGCCCGCCAACAGGAAAAAGACTGGGGGAGAAGATACAGAGCTGGTGTGTGTTTTGCTCGACCGTCCTGGTGGTTCCTTGCATTTTAAGAAAGGACAGTACAAGCAGAAAGGTTGAAATGAAAATACGAATCTGAGGAATTTGTGTAGCAATCTTATGAAAGAAATGCAGATTTTTAAAAAGGCTCTGTTAGTTCAAACAAAGCCTTGTTGCATTCTCCTAGGAAGGAAAATGGACAGGGCTTGCTACCAGTTGCACTAATAACCCAGGTTGATGGGTAGTAAATGTCAAGGCCTGCATCATTGTGGGTGTCTTATGACAGGCCAGCTCATGGAGGATATAAAACTCCTGACACTCAGGAGCCAGTTCTGAAGCCCTTGCTGGCTCCTTGTGCTTTCTCAATTTTCTCCCTAGCCTCAGTAAGGCTGAGGATTGTATAATCATAGCTACTTATGGGGTGAACTCAGGTGTGGCAACCCATTTAAAAATCTGAAATAGCAGATTTTAGGTCTGAGTTACTTAGATAATTATGCCACCACTCATTCCTTACACAGGGTGTAGGTAAGCTTTGAAAACTCCAGAACATTTGATACTGACATATTTAAAGGATGTGGGCTGGTGAGATAGCTTAGCAGACTAAGTGCCTGTTTAGGCAAGTGCAGGGATTGGGGTTCAATCCCTGCTACCACATGCTGTGCTGGCCCTGCCCCTGGCATGCTGAGCCGACCACTGAGACCAGGCGCGGTGGCACACGCCTGTAATCCTAGCACTGGGGAGGCTGAAAACAGGAGGATCACTGATGATCCAAGCTGTGTAGAGAGACCCTATAACAATCGATACATGTAAAGGATACTGTGTTGTGGCCAGATGTGTTTTTCTATTTGAATACATTCTTTTTCTTCAGGAAATGTTGGATTCCCACTCCTTATGAAACGCTGTTGTTCTTTATCTTTGTCTTCAGATTATGATTTACCTGATTGATAAGGTACTTCCAGAAAGCTATTTTGTCAATAACCTCCGAGCATTATCTGTGGATATGGCTGTCTTCAGGGATCTCTTGAGAATGAAGCTCCCTGAGCTATCTCAGCACCTGGATGCTCTTCAAAGAACTGCAAACAAAGAAAGTGGAGGTAGAGATGACTCATCACTGTTATATCTTTGAAAATACTTGGCTTCTCTGATTCTACTCTGTAAGCTTAAACTTGAGCGGAAATACAGATTTCCTGGTACTTCTGTTGTAAGAAGTTGGTACAAAGAATAGACTTCTAAAGCATAAAAACAAAACTGAAAATAAATAAAGCTCCATGTTGAACCTCTAACTGGTTATGGATAGGAAACTGGTCAAGAGCTTAAAACGCCATTGGTACGAGATCAACAACCAACAGGATATGTTGTACTCTAGAGGAGGAATGGATTACCTACCTTACTATCTAGTTAAGTTAGTACAGTACAAGAAGTCTTTATAGCAGAGTAGGTTGATTTTATAACTGTAAGGTTATGGGCTGGTCAAATAGCTCAGCGGATTAAAACGCCTGCTTAGGCAGACACAAGGGCTGGAGTTCCATCCGGTGCTGAGATGGCTAATGAGACTGGGCATGGTGGTGCACGCCTTTAATCCCAGCTCTTGGGAGGCTGTAAACAGGCGCATCAGTGTATGAGTCTGATCTAGTAGTGAGACCCTGAACACCATGTAGACCCTTCCTTAAAATACAAATAAATAAGTAAATAGATAAATAAAAGGTTATAGAAGAGTAGCTGTGATAGCAGTTGGGTTAAGTAAATGCACCTACTATATGCCCTTCTGCAGCTGTGCTCTGGATAAAAAAACAAAAGAGGTCAGAAGTTTGCTGGATTTCCTGCACATGGTCCCCAGTTCCTATTGTAGACCAGGTTCTCATAGTCTTGTCTAACCCACACATTTAAATGTAGGAACATAGTGAAAGATTTTAAAGATCTAATCTTTGGTTAAAATACGGAGGAAATTTTAAGCAGATGGGTGTCTCCACCGTTTCTTTAAACCATTTAAATATCTTCTAATTTGCAGTGCAGTGTAACTGTACAGCTGTGTGGACTCCACAATGCTACAGGTCCACCAGGCCAGGGAGGCCTCTCCTGTCGTTAGACACACTTTACTGAGTTGCTGAATGTCTCCCAAATGCCTTGTATTTGGCTGTGGAAAATAACCTCTGATTTAAGTCTCTGAGTTAATGTTTTTAAAGATAATGAAGAAGAAAACGAGTTGAGGAAAACAGACCTATTTTGCTTATTCTTGAGTACATACTGATTACAGTTGAGAGGGATGACTAGTCTAAAAATTTAAATTTTTCATTTCATTATAATGCTCACTTATCACAGGAAATGGGAGGGAGCATTGTGCCTTTAAATGAATTCTCAAATTTCAAAATGGACTGGGCCACAAATCTTTCTTCAAAACTGTCTGTAATTTAGTTCAGGATGTTTTGTTGTGGGCTGGGGAGATAGCTCGTTGGCCTAAGCGCCTGCCTGGCAAGTGCAAGGTCTCGGGTTTGATACCCAGTACTGCATGTTGTGTCAGCCCTGGAATCCCGGGAACCATACTAGGCATGGTGGCATACACCTGTAATCCTAACTCTGGGGAGGCTGAGACAGGAGGATCACCATGAGTCTGAACTGCTTAGCAAGACCCTGTCTCAAAAAATAAAACAAAACAAAATTAAAATTTTTTAAAAAATTTTGGTTGTTTTATGTGTAAATATTTTGGAATTTTTCTAGCTAAATTTCTGCTAGTGATTTCTATTATGAGTCCATTGTAGTGTAATAATTATGTATGTAATTTAAGAAATTATAATGAATAGTTTTATTCTTATTAGCCACATTTGAATAAAAGTAGGCTTAAAATTTTTGAGAAGCTGATGGCTTTTGCAAGGCCAAAAATATATTTTCTTTTTATTCTGTTTTTGATGAGGAAATATTTCATAGTATTCAGTTCTCTGTAATAGGTAGAGCCAGAAAAAAAAAAAAAAAAAAAAAAAAATAGGTAGAGCCAGAGTAAGTTCTAGGTTAAGATTTTTGAGTTTTTATTAAAAAAAATTGTGTAGCTCATGTTACTGAGATTTTATTAAAAACACCTATGTTCTTCCAAAAATATATAAGAAAAAAGAGGAATGAGCCAGGAATTGAATGAAGAAAGCAATCAGTAAAATACAACAATTTTGGTGGGTGGGAGACTGAAAGAGGGGAGGGTATGTGTACGTCCTGAAGGTGCTCAGCTCGCAGGAACTTACTGCCTTGTCTTGTTGCAGGTGGCTACGAGCCCCCGCTAACCAACGTCTTCACCATGCAGTGGTTTCTGACTCTCTTTGCCACCTGTCTTCCGAATCACACAGTATTGAAGATTTGGGATTCAGTCTTCTTTGAAGGTTCAGAAATCATCCTAAGGGTTTCTCTAGCCATCTGGGCCAAACTGGGAGAGTAAGTGACTTCTCACTTCTGTTGGGTTCTGTGGTACTAAAGCCATAAGCAGTTTTTGTGCTCTAAGTTTAAAGCATTGATATTTAAGCATGAGGAAAAGAGAAAGTTGGGAACTTTATTGAATTGATTTAACATCCTGAAGTCTCAGCTGGCTCTTTGTTCTGGGGCAGAGGGAATCTGGGAAGGGACAGACTTCTTCAGCCCTGGGGGGGTCTCCGTTTCCTCCTTGGTGTAGGTATCCTAGTTGACTGTGGGTACCACAGTAGAGGGGAAACTGGAAGGTGTAGAGGAACAGGTGGGGTTGTTGGTTTGTATCACGATTTGTATCACTTATGGGTCATTAGTACTTACTTTGTTCTGC